AATAATAGCAGTTTCACTCTACCTCTTTTCCCGGACGTGACGTAACAGTGGCCTCCTTCCGGTGTGACCTGTGAGCTGTACCTGCTGTTGCTGCCTGTCATCACCATCTTTCCCAGAAGATTTCTGTGTCCACGTTTTGTTTTTTTACTTTTGTTTTTCCTGGCTTTTGCCTCTGACAGGTCGCATAATGTCCTCCACCATGCCCATGTACCAGTTAAAGCCCGTGTGCGGCGGCGACGTACAGATCGATCTGCCGACCTGCATGTACAAGTTACCAAARGTCCACGCGCAGCAAGGGAGCAGCTGCATCGCCAGCTCCTGCTCCGAGCACGCGCTTCAGGTAACTTGAACTTTACATTTTCGATTAACTTTATTCAGCTTGTCGTTGAAATGTTTTGTTCTAGCTGTTTGGTTTATATTTCTCTCTAAAGTGTCGGTACATATTGACGTCGCCCATCTTAGCCTTTTGGCTAGGTTAGCTCCCATTAGCTTATGGGCAGGGATGGCATGATCAAAGCTGATGCAACTTTGCTGCACTGCTTCATTTTTACATTCAGATCAATTATAGCATGTTATTCTTTCTCTGAGMGTTAATAATAACGATCACCATCACACAAATGAAATTATAAGGAGTCAGCTCCAGTTGTATACACACTGCTCATCATGCTTGTCTTGTCTGCATTATTGAATTATAGGTTTTGTTTTGATTTTAGCAAAGTYTTTCAGCATTCATTCAAACTTGTGTGATGAGAAGCTTCATATACYTTAAACAATATTGTGWATAAAAGTTTTTTTTAACAATAKCAATTATATTAAACTATATCCTTTATGGTCAAACGGGCAGGTTTTGAGTATTAGATGCAGTTAAATTGATCTTTTTCTTTTCTTTTGTCATATGGTTTGTAGCATTCATTGTGAACAATCAGTTTTTTACAGTACGAGTGCATTTTGTTGTGTGTGTTGCAGTGTATTAAATGAAAACACTTGCTACTCCTGGCTATTCGTAATGATGTCATGTTCCTGCTTATTTTAATTTTTTACTATTCCATCACTGTAACATAGATGCACAAGTAGGGTTGGGCATAATCGTATCGTGTGCGATTAATCGTCAGAAAAACATTAATCAATTATTTTTTGGCACTTGACGATTAATACAATTAATGCAACCAGGCAGAGTCTGCTCGGTGCTCCTCCCTGCTTCAAATATGACAAACATAAAATAAAGTTCTGTAATTTATTTATCTATCAACACAATTTAAAACTTGATGTTTAGCCTGAAGTCTGTGATTTTGACACAATTTGGAACAGATTTTATGAAAAGAAAATCTTTCCCACTAAAATGGTCATGTGACTAGGACATAAAGGTGTGCAGGGACTCCAGGGGGTTAATCGTCAAATTAATCGTTATCGGCTAGATACCACAATTAATCGTGATTAATTTTTTTGCCAATATTGCCCAACCCTATGCACAAGGCATCACTACTGAACAAAATTAGATTTTCAAATATGTTGCTTAGAAAAAAGAAAAGTACAGGTAATACTTACTGTATTTATTCATGTAATACTAGAAATTTAACCCTAAAAATCATCCATAAAGTGTGTGTGTGTGTGTGTGNGAGCACAGGTCCGTCCTCCCCTTTTATACGGACCTAGGTGGGGCCCACGTCACGTGGGCGTAGACTATTGATACTTCAGAATGCGCGAGCGCGCGCGCGGGGGTACCCATCTGCGATAGCCTTAGAGGGCGGAGCTTACACGAAATAGAACATAGATGCACAAGGCATCACTACTGAACAAATTTAGATTTTCAAATATGTTGTTTAGAAAAAAGAAAAGTACAGGTAATACTTACTGTATTTACTCATGTAATACTAGAAATTTAACCCTAAAAATCATCCATAAAGTGGGGGGATAGTATTATACACAAGTTATTGATAATTAGATTTTACGCTTTGTAAGGTGAAAAAATGATTATCGTATTATACTCGAAATCGTACATGAATAAATACTGTAAATGTGTTTGTAATAGATTTATGACTGTAGAATGACTGAGTTAATCTTGTCGACAACTGTTTAGACGTGCTCATTTTAAAATAATTTTCTGTTTTATGAACTATARGAAGTTAATACATTTTATTGTCAACATCTTTAGTGTCAGAAACAACAKATTATGGCAACAGAACCCATCTAATAAGATAAAGCTGGAACTTAAAAAGTTATTGTTTCCTTTTTTGTTTATTTGTCTGTTTTTTTACTTCCCACGTGGTTTTTGCAGATCTACAGTATTTCTCTCTCTGTCTCTCCAGAACGGTGAGYTGGACCCAGCCGTCAAGGCTCTGGAGGCTCGTCAGGATGAGATCTTGAGGAAGCTGTACGAGCTGAAAGCTGCTGTGGAGGGCCTCGCCAAGACCGTCACGACTCCAGACGCAGATCTGGATGTGACCAGTTTGTCATCACAAAGCTCCAGCTTCACAATGCTGAAAGGCAGCACAGACCTGGACACACTTCTGGGGAAGGTAAGGAAGTAGTCCATGCAATGACAATTACAACTGTATGGATTTAGTCCCTGAGTGCTCATTTGCACTCATTTGTTCAGGCTGTAGTAGCCTACCCTAATAAGTATCTTTCTTTATCTCACAAGGATCTTGGGGCTCTCCGTGACATTGTCATAAATGCCAACCCGGCGCAGCCCCCCGTCACCCTGCTGGTTCTCCATAGCCTGCTGTGTCAGCGCTACCAGGTGCTTTCCACTGTTCACGTCCACTCCTCAGTTAGCAGCGTGCCGCCACAGCTTCTGTCCTGCCTTGGCCCGCGCCATCCAGACAGCTACGCCCGCCATCTGTTCCAGCTGGGCTTCACCCTCATATGGAAAGACGGTACGCTAACACTTCAATTAGCTCCAATTTAATATGAAGTTTGACTGTTTTGTCTTCACACCTTATTTCCTTTCAAGTCACTGCAAACTGTTTCCTGATTCTGAGCAGCCTGTTTTTTTTTTCACTGCGCTCCTCAGCGTCAAGCTTGCGTTGTTATATTCTTCRTCCTGGGTTCTCTCTTTCCTGCCCCCTCACCCAGTTTCTTGCACTCTCATTAGCTGCAGCTCCTGACGTCTCACTCAATCACTCCTCTCTTCCCGACTCCTTTAAAATATTTATTACGCTGGATGTTTAGTTGGAGGCTGGGGGTGTCTGCCAGCCTTCACAAATCACATTGTTGAATCCGTCACGCTCAACGGTTAGTAACCCACTGCTTTGCCTGAAATCTGAACCGTTCTCTCTGCAGCTTCTGGTATTTCTTTTTTTTTCTTTTCTTTTGCACCTTTTATCTCGAAACAAATTCTTAATAATAATAATAATAATAATAATAAATAATAATAAACTAAACTAGCTAAAACTGTAGTACTGCACATCCTCCATGAACCGCATGCACAACATGCCAACAGCCATTTAATTTGAATGTAATTTCATGTGAAAGTGTGGAGGTGGATCGCTGCTCTGCACATCTAATATTATAAAATTTAATTACTTTGCTGTTTACCATGTCAAAGTAATTACAAGGAACAGTGACATAAATATTTAAGTAGGTGTTCAGCTATTTTACCCCTTAATTAAGAGGTGAAGGTTTGTTTGATTGATAGTAGTAATTATAAGAAACACAGCAAAGAGCAAAATATTAAACGCACAGTTCAGCTTTTAAAACAAACATTTGCTTTGAGTTGTACTTCTGTTTAACTTTGTGTGTTTTTAATTGTCTCAAAAGACTCGTATTAATTAATGGTTTTTTTCCCCCCAATCTGTAGTTCCCAAACTGGAGATGAAATTCAGCGTCCGCAACATGTGTCCCATCGAGGGTGAGGCCAACGTGGCACGTTTCCTCTACAAGCTGCTGGCTCCCTTCCCCAGTGACCCCGCTGTGGCCACACTGGTGGACAGCTGGGTGGACACGGCTTTTTTCCAGCTGGCAGAGGGCAGCACCAAGGAGCGGGCCGCCGTCCTCCGGGCCCTCAACTCTGCGCTGGGCCGCAGCCCCTGGTTGGCCGGACCAGAGTTCTCCCTGGCCGACATCGCCTGCTACTGCTGCGTGTCGCGGAGRGGCTCGGCCCCCGCCGCTCCCGCCAATGTCCAACGCTGGATCAAGTCCTGCGAGAACCTGGGACACTTCAGTCCCGCCAAGCTACTTCTGCAGTGACCCGGACTGTCCTGGAACCAGAGTCAAAGGGAATAGAGGGGCATTAGAATAATAAAYTATCTCAGCCATGTCTTGAATTCCTCCTGATACTTCCCCTCCTTACTGTAGTACYTCACTGCACTAACAGACTCTCTTCAATCAAGGTGGCTAATGGTTAAAATAACCTTAAAGTAGTTAGACTGCTTTAATAAAACAGAGAGGAAGCATGAGAGGACTAAAGACAAAAGCTTGGTGATGGGTTAAAATAACTGTACTGACAGCAGCATTGTTAACAAACACACACACAGACACACACCAAACCCTCCACCCTCTCTGTGCCTAACCTGATCCTGTTCTAAACGTGTGTTAACGTGTGGTGAGAGGTGTTGCTAAGTGTTTTCACAGGTAATACTTTATACCATTTACTTTTATTAAAACAAAACTTCTAATTTGGATGAGCGTTTCAACTTGTCTTATTAAAGTATAAATATTTTCAGTGAAAGGTATATTCCGACGTAAACATCTGTGCCCAGCAGGTGGCAGGATTACCAGGGTTTTAATTCTGGATTATTTCTAAAAAAAAATGGTAATCTTTACCTTGGTGCTGTTGATTTAACCTGGAGGTGCAGATCATTATAGTGAAGTGAAAGAACAAACACTGASCAGTCTCGATTCCACCGCACTTAAATATTTGACAAGAAAAACTATAATTAAAGAWGTTTGGTTTTGTTGAAGTTTAAATATTAAGTCTCAAATTTCTCACAATTATGAACAGAAAAATAACTAACTTTTATAATAATAAATATTATACCAGGTAGAAACTAAAAAAATGTGCAACAGCAAATTTAGCTGTTTGGATGAGATTAGGCAAACTTTATGTGCTTTAACACTCAGCTCTACTGCTCATCCCACAAGTGCATGTTCCTTACAAATGTGGCTTCTTTTAAAAGGGAAACAGCCTTTCCAACGGTATAAGATTATTGCCGAGAAGCATTGTCACAACAAAGAAATAATCTACCACATATTTCCTTACTTTTTCTGCTAAGTGTATTTTTTTACTACGGTAATTTGTCTTTTTTTATGTCAGATTTTAAATACATTGCGATTGCATATTGAAAATTCTCTGGTCTATATGGCTCCAAAAGCCTACTTTTACCTTTAAGATACAAACAAATACTGACGGAAAACCTTCCTGTGTACCGCTGAAAGATTTTTACTTTCAGGCTTAAAAAAAAATATGAGAAAAGCTTTTTAAACCTAGTGAGAAAATTTTGAACAAATCTGCTGATGAATGCTTTAAATCTATTTTTAGCTTCTTTTTTTTTTTGAGGTTTCTAGGAGGCTGTATAACCAATCCCATCTATTTTTTTGTATTCAAGTTCAGCACATTTTTTAATGCGAGGATTCCATTTTCTGCTCCGATCCGTCACACACACCAGTGAGATGTTCTCCTGCAATCATGGTTCATGCTGTTTTCTTATCAGTTGATGTCTTGAACAAAGTCCCAGCTCCCTGTTAGCAGTAGAGTTTCACAGCTGGGGGCTCCAGATCTGTGTGTAACCCTTTGTGACTGCTATAGGCAGACTTGCGGAAAATCATAAAAATTTGCATACTTTAACATTCATAGATGTGATAATGCTGGGGAAAAAAAACAGCTAATCCCGTGATTTCTCAGGTTCTATTTGGATTGGTTTAGCATTTCTTGTAGTATTATGTTTTTGACAGCTTCGGTCCGTGCGGAGCTGCCGTATAAGTGTGTTTGTATTCTCCGACAGCCTCCTGTTGGTCTCCAGGCGGCTGTCTGACAAGACGGAAGCTCTTAGCTGACATCTGGGCTCGTGGTGAGGAATACACTTGGGACTGTGCAGAGCTAAAGTGATGCATGCTCTTGTCTTCCTCACCACAACGCAGGGCACCTATCAGTATCTATGGATGCAGCCAAGGCTGCATGCAAATAAGGCAGCAAACTTCGTCAAGTCATTAATCGAATGGCTTCCTATTCATTTACATGGAGGGAAAAAAAATCAAAACAAATGAATTTTTCTGGTGTCTTTATATATAAAAAAACTCATACAGATGAGGTGCATTTTCGTAGGTAAAAAAGAACAACTAAAAGACAGTTGCAGCTTCATTTTACATAAAAAGATGGTTTTGTCTGCTCATTCATTCTGATGTCAGTGTCCATGATTGTCAATCAGATCCTTTCATTCTGGAGTGACACAAATGTCTGCCATGCTAATCAAATCGAGTTCAAGAGCAAAATCTGACAAATCAAATCTGAGCTGAAGGACCTGAAATGATTTGATTTTCTGGTATCTTTTTTAGCATATGGTTTGATTTTGAGAAAGTTTTTAGTTCATGGAATCACTCGGTCACCAAAGTGCAGACGTTGCTGTTGTATCTCAAAAGCTGAACGCGCTCAAAGTAGTCATCAGTCAGAAAGTTTCTCTGCGAGGTCACCAGATTGCCCTTCTGGCCAAAGAGGCGTTGGACGGGCGCTGTGGAAGGCAGGGTGGTGTTGTATTTTAGGAAGAGCTGCTTCACCCTGGGGAAGTCCTGCAGACACTCCAGGCTCTTCCCGGTCCCTTCGACGTACTTGCGGATCTCCTCCATCACTCCCCGGCGCTGGATCTGCGTGGTGGTCTTCGCCGAGCCATAGCTGAAGAAGTCGTCCTCGGACTCGATGGTGGACAGGTTGCGGCTGGTGTTCGCCTCGGCCGCCTCGCTGGGATCCATCTGGGACGCCTCGGTGGCCAGCAGAGAGCACATCTCCTCCCGCTCGGACGCCGCCATCCACCACAAGCGAAACTGCGGCGTCGTTGCCGTTGCGATCTTCGCCTCCGTGCTCGAGAAGAACTCCTGGAATCGTACGTCGATGGCGATCACAATGCTGTTGATGACGTCGCCCAAGTAGTTTGCAGCGTCTTTCTGCTCTTTTAGTTTGTTCTTCAGGCTGAGGACGGTTGGGATGACGAGACCTAGGTAGCATTTCTGCTCCGCCTGGAAAAGTTCAAGTGCAAACGCCAGCGGGTGGAACACGGTTACATACTCTTTCAGGAAGGCTATCTCCTCTGGCTGAAGGCGTGGGACCTCCAGGCGGACGCAGAGCTCCGTCAGCTCCCGTTCAGTGAGAGACACGATCTTCTGCACGGCACAGTACTCCACATTCCAGCGTATAACAGCTGGGACAATGAGTGCCATCTTCCCTATCTCCTCTGCCGCGTTCATCTCGGTCTGGAGAAGGTGGCACTTAGTCCAGATCCCAGCCACCTTCGCCATTGAGCTGTAATGCAGCTGGCACATGGGCCCCTGCGAGATGGCCTGCCAAAAGTCCTCAGTGACAACCTGCTCCAGCGTGTGTGACGCACAGCGCTGAACGGGGGGCAGGAACAGGAGCATGTCCTGCTCCGGCTCACCCTCCAGAACCGTGTTCACGTTCTCATAGAACCCAACGTCATCCTCGTTCTCCTGGCCCTCCACTACAAACTCTTTGAAGACACTAATAAAGGGACTGCCGTTGTCAGTGACCGTGGTCTGAACTTTACTTTCGATATTATACGTCACGTGGACGTCGTGTATCCGTCCAGCGATGGTGTCGTACGTGATCCTTTCATTGAGGCGTGTGAACCCCAGAGCGGCAGATTTCCTCTCCAGAGACTCGGCGTCGATCCAGTGACACGTCATCCCGAAGTAGCTTCTGTTGTTGGCAGTCCAGACGTCTGCCGTGGTGCAGACATACTGGACGTCGCAGAGTTTGGCCATCAGCTCCTCCCGCATCCTGGCAAAACCCTGGTCCACTTTGGTGAACAAGGTCACCCTGTCCATGACCTTTAGCCCTTCGGTCAAACATGAGATCAGTTTCTTAAAACCGGGCTGATCCAGAACGTAAAACGAGTGACAGTCCTCCACGATGAAGCTGAAAACGAGATCGTCCACCTTGGACTGGGTCATGGATTTGGAGATGATATCCGCTTTGAGTTTTTTCAGCTGGAGGTGTCTGCTCTCCTCGCCGTTGTACTCCTCTTTCTTCCTCCCTCTCTTTGCATCCGGCCTGGCATCACAGCCCAAGTGTGTCCTCTGAAAATAAATAAATAAAAATGTGACAAATATCAGTCTGGTTCAAGGGGTGTTTCCCCCTTTTCATGCTCAAACTTTGCCCCGGTTAAGAAACTTAAACACAAAATTATTAAAACACTTTCCAGCCAAGTTGAACTCAGAGCCTGCAGCGCTGTCATGGCTGCAGATGCACCAGTAACGTTATTACCAGGGTAGCTACTCATTCATTGACTCTAACAAACATTACAACAAAGTGATCGGGAGGCTGAAACATTCAGTTCACTTTCTGTGACTTACATCTAAATGTTTCTTTAGGTTGGATGTGGAGGTTTTCGACGTGGACAGCAGATTAACCCTCGGCAAACACAGATTACATTGGACGATGATATTTTTCCCCTGGTCTGCCTTGTACGTGAAATGGTGGCGATAACGCCAAGTATTAATGGCCGATTTAGTCTCTCCGCTGCTTTCATTAAGATCCACATCCATGACGGAGGTAGCGTTTGCCACTGCGGACATGCTGAAAGAGAGTGAAAGTATCGTAATCCGATTTAGTAATCTTGATTACACGTAAAGTAACGATGGCGGCGAAGAAATCCTCGTGAAAAAAAAGGGGGCAGGGCTTTGTTTCCATGTTGTCAGGCGAACAGTGAACGGAGCAGACGTCATCGTCATCGTGCAAGTTTTGCGCATGCGCACAAAGAAATGAACAAGAAACGAAGAAAGTGCGCATGCGTACCACACAGACGCGTATTCTGTTTTGTAAAACGCATTTAAAATACTTCTTTTTCTTGTTTTACAGAGTTGGTGCCACCAACAGCTAATGAAAGTCACAATCGTTAAAAAAATGCTAAAAAATAAATAAAATAATAATGTTGCATGTAAAGTAACTGTCTTCCAACACAGAATGAGTTGCTTTAGTTTTTATTCATTTACTGGGCTATTTTAAGAGTTTTTCCAAATCAAAATACAAAAGAAAGGCTGCAGTTTGTGTATTCTAATATTTGACAAGTTCTCTTCTGAGCATTTATTTTATCATAGCAGCAAAGTTTAATACAGAAATTTTTTGTGCTTTCTTTTTTATTAGTGTTGCTTCAAGGACCGCACAGAGTTCTGGTTTATATCAAAGAATGTCTGAAATCATCACCCCCAACACTCATCTGTGTACTCACCTGCCTGAGTCCTCGTCCTCTGTGGCTCCTCCTCGTCTCCCACCTTGATTACTCACCTGTGGGGTCCTCACGATCCTACCTGTAAAAACACCGAGTGAATTCACCTGCAGCTCACTGAATGTCCTGCAATGAACTCCAACCTGTAAAGACAACTGTAAGTGGATTTCTCTTTACAACCTACGATTATTCAACTATTTACCTCCTTATCGAAGATCCTGATTATTGTCCTCCTCTTGCAGTCACTGAAGCCCTCCTGATTCCACCACCGTTCCTGCAAAATACAGCGGGTAAAATAAGTATTGAACACGTCACCATTTTTCTCAGTAAATATATTACTAGAGGTGCTAATGACATGAAATTTTCACCAGATGTCGGTAACAACCCAAGTGATCCATACATACAAAGAAATCAAACCATAAATGTCCAGAAATGAAGTTATTTGTAATGATGTGGAATGGCACAGGGAAAAAGTATTGAACACATGAAGAAAGGGAGGTGTAAAAAGGCATGGAAAGCCAAGACACCAGCTGAACTCTCACTAATTAGAAAACAAGCCTGCCCCTTGTCAGCGCAAATTAATATCAGCTGGTTCAGTCCCAAATGATGGCCAGGTATCACACAAGAACCATCTGATGATGGGTAAAAGTAAAGAGCTCTCTCAAGACCTTCACAACCTTATTGTTGTAAATCATAATGATGGCATCGGTTACAGAAGAATGTCTAAACTTCTGAAGGTTCCAGTGAGCACTGTTGGGGRCATAATTCAGAAGTGGAAAGAACATCATTTCACCATAAACCGACCACGACCAGGTGCTCCTCACAAGATTTCTGACAGAGGAGTGAAAAGAATTATCAGAAGAGTTGTCCAAGAGCCAAGGACCACTTGTGGAGAGCTTCAGAAAGACCTGGAATTAGCAGGTACGATTGTTTCAAAGAAAACAATAAGTAATGCACTGAACCACCATGGCCTGTATGCACGCTCACCACGCAAGACTCCACTGCTGAAGAAACAGCATGTTGAAGCTCCTTCAAAGTTTGCTGCACAACATTTAGACAAGCCTGTGTAATACTGGGAGAATATAATCTGGTCAGATGAGACCAACATTGAACTGTTTGGATGCCAGAATAAACATCATGTTTGGAGGTCAAATGGCACTGCACATCAGCCCAAAAACACCATACCAACAGTGAAGTTTGGAGGTGGGAACATCATGGTGTGGGGCTGTTTTTCAGCATATGGTACTGGCAAACTTCAAATAATTGAAGGAAGGATGAGTGGAAAAATGTACAGAGACATTCTTGATAAAAATCTGCTTCCATCTACCAGGATGATGAAGATGAAACATGGCTGGACATTTCAGCAAGACAATGAGCCCAAACACAAAGTCAAGGAAACTCTCGGTGAAACTAAAGCTGCTGGAATGGCCCAGCCAATCACCTGACCTGAATCCAACAGAAAATCTATGGAAAGAACTAAAGATCAGAGTTCATAGAAGAGGTCCACGAAACCTTCAAGATTTGAAGACTGTTTGTGTGGAAGAATGGGCCAAAATCACACCTGAGCAATGCATGCCACTAGTTTCTCCATACAGGAGGCGTCTTGAAGCTGTGATTGACAACAAAGGCTTTTGTACAAAGTGTTAGATAAATTTCAGTAAGTGTGTTCAACACTTTTTCCCTGTGCCATTCCACATTATTACAAATAACTTCATTTCTGGACATTTATGGTTTGATTTCTTTGTATGTATGGATCACTTGGGTTGTTACTGACATCTGGTGAAAATTTCATGTCATTAGCACCTCTAGTAATATATTTACTGAGAAAAATGTTGACGTGTTCAGTACTTATTTTACCCGCCGTAAATACCATTGTAAATTTGTATAAAACTTGTCTGAGACATTACCGTTTCACCTTGACACAAAAGTTACTAAAACCTAACATATACATTATGAACGTGTATTAGTTTTGTAAAGTTTTCTTTAGAGGTAATTTCAGTGGTGGGCAGCACTAATCTAAAAATTAGTTCCACCAGTTTTAAAACACTAACTCAAATACTTAGGTCCCCTAATTCTAAAGCACTAACGCACTGAAAGTTTTAGCAAAAGCTAATTTTGAAGCACTAAAACAACCCAGTCAACCCATGAACATACTTCAACAGACAACATGAGTCACATGTTGACATGTTGCTCTCACTGACTTTCCACAGCTGTATTTGAGTTCATATATTGTCACCTATAGTGGAAAAATGACACATGTATGAACAAAATGTGTGACATCTTTCACCCTCAGCTGTTAACATTAATGTTGATCAATAATATTTATAGATCTCAGTTAGTGCTTCTAAATCAAGCCCATAAATTTAGCTAATCCACTAATTTTAAAATCAGCAAAAGCCCTAAAGCACTAGGAAATTGTTTCCCCTATTAGTGCTTTAGGGGAACTGTGCCCACCACTGGGTAATTTTAAAAATATTTTTTGACCAGATGTTCCAAATACTCCTAAAACTTATATTAATTAAAAGCATTTCATGTAGAGTTAAAATCTTTAGAGCAATCTGAACCTAAAACTCTAAAAAGCCTCCCTGCTGATTTGACAATCATCTGCTGTTTGTAATTTTAATCAGATCAGTTGTATCCAAGTCAGATGCAGAGGAGGGCGATGAAGACTTGGCATTCACCTGCCATGGTGGTGGGTGAGGGTTGTCCTGTAATCAGTGGGTTGCTGGTTCGGTCCCCGTGAACATGAAGGAGGCTTAATGAATGTTTAGGACTGTTGTCAGTCTCATAAATTGTGACACGTTTAATGCAAAGTTGACATTGTAAAATAATAAAATGTCTTGGTTACGACAACTTGACATTAACCAAGAAACCATGGTAAGATACAATCGCATGACTCTGTAAATAAAGGATTGTCTCTGGACATTTAATTTAATTTAATTTAATTTAATTTAATTTAATTTAATTTAATTTAATTTAATTAATTTAATTTAATTTAAGTATTTATTTAAAAGGGATAATGCACATTAACTGACAAATGTGCCAGAGTTAGCCAAAGGCTATTTTTCATCTATTGTCCCTGGACTTGATAAAAACAAGAAAGGTCATACAAAACAAGGTTAAAATGACTCAGCTACATACAATTTGTCAATTATACAACAAAATACAACAATACAAATGAAAAAAAAATTATACAAACTATAAAAGTATAAAAATCATTAAAACTAATTTCCATATTAGTAAATTATATCATACCAATGTCAATTTGTCATAAATATATTTTTTGTCTTAGTTAACATTCATGTTCATGGCAGATATGTTTATGACAGAGTAATGTCAGTCTTATGCAGACCCCTTCAAATAAAGTGTTACCAAGAAGGGTTATTATTATTTTACAGTCTCGATTAACCTGCAGAACTTCACCAACTTCCTGTTTGAGCGAGCATCGTTTGAAATCCCAGTTCTGTGGGGAATGGGTTACTGCGCTTAAGGGTCCTATTTTCCCTTTCCCTTCTCGCCCTCCCCGACCCCTCAGGCAGTGACAGCTGTGTGACTCCGAGTTTTCGAGTCTGGGGGATGTCTCACATGTATTCCTCACAGATTTCGTGCGTTTCAACTCCATCCTACTTTCATCCCACTCCGAGCTTTGATTGATCTGTTTTAACGCACATCCCGTCCATTGGTTAGATTTGCTGAGGGTGGGGTCTCACTTAGGAGCGGTTGACGTGGCGCTCGTCCGGGTTTCTGACAGGGACGCTGTCTGTGTTGGAGCAGAGAGACAGAAAAAAAAGTGATTTGAGGGGAAGATAAAGGAGGAGTGAACTGTAGAATGAAGGAGCTTTGAGATGTTTTTGCTGCCAGGCTCTCCTGTGCGCATCAGATGGAGCATCAGGAGGAGCGGGGACACAAACTGTGTCCTTTTCACAGCCAGCTGAACATCAGGTGAACGTGCCCAACAGCAGCTCCCCCTCCTTGTCTCTGCTGGCTTCTGTTTCGTCACGGTAGGAGCCGAGAGCGCGGGACAGGTATGATCAGAGGCTCCGCGCCCTGACGCGCTCCTGCTGCGTGCGAGTTCGGACCGGCGTGGACTTGTAGCATGAAGCGCCATGGCTTGGTGTGACCGCGGGGTTCAAACGCTGCTGGCCACGGTGGGGGCTTTCGCTGCTTTCAGCCTGATGACCATTGCCATCGGCACGGACTACTGGCTCTACTCGCGGGCGTACATCTGTAACACCACCAACGCCACGACGGACGAGACACAGACTCAGCTCAGAACCAAGAAGGGAGATCTCACTCACTCCGGTCTGTGGAGAATCTGCTGCATTGAAGGTAAATCTGCCCAAAGTTGTGAACACCTTTGCTTTTTTTAAATTTAGCCAAACACACACATCAAAGCTTTATTTTATGATGGAAACGGTTGCGCGCAATGAGCGCGCAAAGAGCGCACTCCTTTTACGCACGCCAAATCTGTTTGGACAACGAGTCGGTAGTGAGAACGTGTTCGTTTGGAGCAACTTTTACGGGATATACAGGCAATATAACAAAGCTTGAAGAGATTCTTTGAATTGTAGGATACAGATGTTTTGTCAGCTTTTGCAATTCATTGTTGAAGCTCAGGCGGAAATTCTGCCAAAGCTTGCGGTGCCAATCCGGCGCGTCTGAAGCCCATTCACTCCGGAGCCGGCAGGAAATGTGCGCGCTTATTAGTCGACTTTCATTCATGCCTTCATTGCATCTGATGCTGTTGCTCGGCAACATCTATGAAATTGCTATGGAAACATGCCCGGCGATTTAAAAATAGATGACTCTGAGTTCACGTCATGTCCGAGAAAAAAAAAAGAAAGAACAAAAAATGAGAACATCCCATTAATATTTGTTTTCTCCCGAATTGTCATCCCATTTATTTTCTTTCTCTCTGTTTGATTATTGAGTAATTTACCGGATCTGGGTGTTTGAAAGGGAGGTGCGCTGGCAGTGACGTCTTTTTTCTGAAGCAGACAGACTCTCATTGACCAATCTTCCTTCCGACCACCCCTTGACTTCTCGCCTCAGCTGTCAATGAGAGCCACTGTGCCTGGGTGGGTTTGTTCGGCACCGACGTCTGCATGACGCACAGACAGGGACAATTTTCATTAGAGTAATATGAAATAAAACACATTCAGTGCTTTCTGAATTCATTATTTACAAAGATAAACGACCAAATATACTTCTGAAAACAGCTGGGTACAAGACAATCCCTTGTTTTAGGTTTTCATTGTGTGTGTTTAGTTTGAATCTGAAATGATTATGAAAACTTCAAACTTGAAGGATGTCAATAATCTCTGGCAGGAGCATCCATGAAACGTTTCAACAGAGCAGAGCTGCCATGATGTGACTGTTATTTCTTAAGCAAATAGAAAATGGAAGCACATCCCCATAAAAAACTATTCACTTTCCTTTCTGGGCATTTCTCACTAACATTTAGACTGCTATACAGTAAGCAAAAATCAGTTAAGATCATCCAAGGACTAACTGGTGTTTCATGACACACAGCAACTTTGGGAATCACATCTTTACAGCACCTGCCAAAAGGTTTTCAGAACAAGAGTCATCTCAGGACAAAAGAGGGGAAAAAAACACAAGTGAAAATGATAAATATAATTCAGATCCAGATTTAATACAAAACAGTCATTTCATACCAAATATAATATAGGCCTATATATTCTCAGAAAAAAATATCTAAGGAATCCATCCCATCCTCAGCATCACTTTCATGACAGTGGAAAGAATGACTTCCTTTTAACCTCCAGCAGAGCCAGGCTCTGAGCAGCATCTGCCTGAACCAGCTGGGCTTTGAGAAGAGACATGGACTAACACAGAAGGGTATCCTCACAGACACAAACTTCAAATTGGCTCCAAAAAAACAAGTATAACTGAATGTCCTGATGCATCTCAGTAATCCAGGTAAAAAAGAAAAAAAATTGTGTAGGTCTTCTGGACGGGTTCTTCTCTAATGAAACGTTTCGTCTCTCCTCCAAGAGACTTCTTCAGTCTGAGAGTTTCAGGCAAAATTCAGGCTTTTAAGCACTGCCTCCATGTGACTGATACTCACATCACATGGCTATCGTTGACACCTAATTAACACCTATTGTTAACAGGGGGTGGAGTGATACTGGCAATAGCCGCGCTGTAGGAGGGGGACAACTGAAAACGGAGGCCTCCACCTCTGTTTAATGATGGACGGTCTTTCTTCACAAAAATGGCTTCTTTTACTCCTCTCTCAAACCAACGTTCCTCTCTATCAAGAATGAGAACATCCTCATCTCTGAAAGAGTGACCGCTGGCCTGTAAATGAGTGAAAACTGCAGAGTTCTGGCCATTAGATGTAGCTCGTCTGTGTTGGGACATTCTTTTGAACAGTGGCTGCTTTGTTTCCCCGACGTATAACTGGTCGCAGTCCTCCTGGCACTTAACAGCATATACAACATTGCTCTATTTGTGCCGGGGCACCGGATCTTTGGGATGAACCAGCCTTTGCCGTAATGTGTTTTGGGGTATAACTGAAGGCTTTGCCCCCCCCCCCCACCTTATTTTTTAAATTTATTACTATTCTTCTTTTTACTTTTAGAAACTCTAGGAACCATAAGTAAACCTGCAGTCTGAGGGTGATCTGTTTGGGAAAAATAGAACAATTAAATTTTAAATCTGACGTGGAAACAAGCATGGATCAATTAGAATGAGGGGTTAGCTAGTGTTTCAGTAAAGTGTACTGCTGTTTTTAATGTCCAGTATTGGTCAAATTAGAGTTGTCTGGGGTGGGACTCCCTGTAAAAACTTCAGATAACATTGGTTTATAAACAGATTGGAGCTGTTTTAAGACGGCATCGGTCCACTTTGTCAGAAAATAATTGTTCTCTCAGAACCCTGCTTCAAAAGTTTTGAACTATTCCTTTTAAAAGAGCTGAATGTTTTGAGCCCAAAACAAAAGCGCATTTGGCTTTCCCAGCAATTTCTTTGTTAGAACAGCTTATTTTTCTATGTGTGTTTGTTTCTTTGTGGCTCAGACAGTTAGCATTAAGTTTCCCATTTTCTGAGCCATCAGAGCCCACCTGCAGAGAGACACAAAGACACACTGTCAGAGATGGAACAGTGCCGGGCCTGTCCTGTGGCGAAGGTGGACAGATGCGATGAGTGTCCTGGTGTGTTGTGATACGATAGTTTCACTTCGATGTGTTTTTGCCCAAAACTATAAGCCGCTGCGAGGTGGCTCAGTTGTCATGGAGACCCATCAGTGCAGAGGAAAAAGACAAGCAAAAGAAGACCCCCCCACCCCCTACACACACCACACACACACACACATTACCCTTCACAGACAAACTGTATTCCCTCCTCCGGCCACGGTGACAAACACACCGGGGTTACTGATGGTGATGGCTCTGTGTGCATCACAGCTGCTGGGGAAAACATGGCTGTAATACAGCAACTACACTTCCCAACATGTGACAACACATCACTGCGAGACACAACATCTGCTCAGCACCCCTTTAGCTCCATTTTCACTTTCAGTGAACGGATAATAAATGTGTTCAGTGGCCTCGCCTTTTCTTCAGCAGGTCAAAGGAACAATCAGTAAGCAGGGTGTTTAAATTATATATTTAGGTAAAGTCAACACCTCTTTTATTGCATTTCATAGCAACTCTTCAGGGTTTTTTTTGTTGTTTAATTTACTGTTTGTTTTCCAACATTAACATTGTGAGGTCAACACCCACAAAGTGCACTTGTTGTTGCAACAGAATACATTTAACGCGCAGCAAGAATGTGAATAATCTAATATTCAACAATCCAATTAGCGGGATCATATTTACAGTAAACGGCTCAGCTGGCGCTGGATTGGAGCGAGTGGAGAGCCAGCTGTTCTTTCCTTGGAGGGGTAGGGTCCAGCAGATGTGTTTGTGTGTTTGTGAGGAGGTGTTAGTTTGGCATGTGTTGGGGGTCACTTTGTTATTTTCAGGCAATTTGTAATCAAAATGCAGCCACGGAAAAGCCATGCGGGGGGCACTAATTAACCAGCAGGCCTCAACATCCACCTGGATCATGTCATCCTCTTCACTCCCTGATCGCTCTTTCTTTCATCTCTAAAAGCTTCAATGCCTCCATTTTGATAAGTATTTTCTGGGTCATGACTTTTTCTCTTTTTTTTTCCAGTTTCTAAAAGTACCAAGAGCTTTAATAAAAGAAAAATGCTCTGCATAAACTGACAATATAACAGTTTTATTCTTTACATGCACAATGAAAACAGGGACTAATAAACAAAGTCATTATTTCTTGTCAGTCAGTTTTTAGAGGATGTGTTTGCTAGGTGTTGATATGAAAATACATTCATAGGTGTGTTTGTCAGGATGTAACGTTAAAGAAAAACAGAAAGAAATGGAAACGATTTTGGAAAACAACTTGGAAAGAAGACAGCATGAGCAAAAAATACATTTTGATCTTTTGTTTTCAGAAAGTTTGGGGCGATTTTGTCTCGTAACATTTTATTGTTTAGCTTAGTAGAATATTTCAGTGTCTATTAAGATTTATTTGATTCCTTAAAGTGGTGCTATTGTGTAAAATGACCTTTTTTAAGCTTTATATCATGTTAAACATCCCCAGAATTTTGCTTTGATTCATTCATTCATGTTTGGAAATCCTTGAATCTCTTGTGGTAGCCATATGTGGAGCTGCCTAAAAGCTTTCTCATACAAAGAACTGCCTATTCCTGACGCTCAGTCTGCAGCCAAGCTCCCGCCCCACAGAGCACCCCCCCTCACCTGTAATATTGTTGGGAAGATGTGCTGAAGTGGGAGTGTCAGAAATGGTAGGAAGTTCTTCAAGAGAGAGGCTAATTTCAAACTGTTTAGATGGACTAGTCTAATTTATTTTTGAAGTTTACAGCTTTTTTTACAACTGAAGGTTGCATAATTACATTGGTAAGTACCCCCCCCCCCACCCCTTAAATGAACAATTACATACTATATATGTATAATTTAAATCCCAAACTCTTCCTTTTTTTGTTCCAACACATCACTGTGAAGCATATTACCATAAAGTTTTTCTTTGGCTTAAAGAAAAAGAGAGAGAGAGAGAGAGAGAGAGAGAGAGAGAGAGAGAGAGAGAGAGAGAGAG